AAACTGACAAACGTACATGTAAAATTGTAAAATTATTAATGCAAAATGAATATTTTCGAATGATGTTGCGACAATTTCAGTTCCTTTCCAATATAAATACATTATGCAGCACAAGAAATAATTAATCTACACAACAAAAATTCGAGCATGATAATAGAAATTAGTTACCGCATATATTATATATATATATATATATATATATATTGTTACAAATATGTAAATATTATTTGTATTTGTCTTAAAATATCTTAGACAGATCGGAAATACTCAGAGTTTAGGCAAAAATCGCACGTTCAATGTTAAGAAGGGGAGGGAAAAAAAAAAACCCGGCATTTTTAAGGATTTGGCGACCTTTTGGTGGGATTATTGGCAATCACTTGGCGAGATTTGGCGAAAAATAGATTTTTCTGGAAAGTTCCATCATCGAAGCTCTAGGACCAATATTAAGCGAGATAGCCTAGAACCTTCTGGAACCTTGGCGAAACTCTGAGATTTTCACGCCAAGCTAGGTATAAATACCACACACGAGCAGTAGTGAAGACGGCCATTTTTCTTATTGTTAGATATCTGTCTGAGATATTAGAGACTTCTGCGTTTGGAAGCTGTTTCCTGAGAAATTAGCTGAAGTAGAGCTGTGTAATTGTGATATCTACAGCTGTGGAATTTCCTGCGTCCTGTAGAAATAACGACGAATAAAAGTCTTGAGATTTTTTTAAAGAGATTGTTTCCTCGACTCTCAATCAACACGAACCCCGATGCGTGGTACAATACTAACTTTATAACCACCCCGGTTATTGCGTAAGTGCTCCCTGCCCTTTTTTCATTTTGAAGAAAAGGCACTTTTCACATAGTTTTGAAGTAGTGTGTCCAGCGCTGTGTTTAACTTTGGAATTGTGTCTTGCTTCGAATCTAATATTGGTGTATATCCTGCACTTAATTTAAGTCAAGAAACTTTTTCGGAAGGAATATCGTCGTTCCTGTAGCCCAAGTTGTTATTGTTGTGGACGTTATGTCTTTGGAATCAGAAAACACATAAGTGGTTTTTTTTTTTTTTTTCCTTTCATGAAATATTAATTGTCTGTCATGGATAAACTATTGTTTTGAAAAGTATATTATCCCATCCTGGTACTAATTGACAGCTTGTCGATATTTTGAATTATATTTTGTGTGAATTTGTTTTTCATTTTGGCAAATGTTGAGCTTTGTATTTTGAATTCGTAGATAGGTCAAAAGTTTTGGTTTATTTGAGTCAAATTAGCTTTCGGGTGTTATCTTTTATTTTAATTAAGAAAAGGGTTCATTTAGCGAAAGTTAAAAAGGAGGACTTAATTAGATTGTTAAAGGAATTAGATTTAAGAATCACTCAGAATATGAAGATGATAACATTAAAGGAAATTATTCTTCAAATTGATGGATACGAAGAAGAATTCGTTGAATCGATGCTTAAGGAATTTGTAAAAAAAAAAAAAAAAAAAAAAAAAATCGAAAATGTAAAGAAGAAATAGAAATTCTAGTGCGAAAATGGGAAGAAGAATTAGAAATTCAGGAGCAAAAACGGAAGGAAGAATAAGAGGGGGAAAGGAGAAGAGAAAACGAATGAATACTTCTTGAATTATTTTTCCTTTAACACACACATACATAATTAACTTTTTCGAAAAACTCACTTCTTCAAAGTCTAACAATCTTGTTTAATATTCCACAAGTTTATTTCTTATATTGTAACAGCTCAAGTTAATTTTTTTTCATGTATGCATTCTTTTTCTAACAACGTTTAGTTAAATGAATAAATATATTCCGACCAAATTTAGATTTATTGATTTGGTGTAAAAACCCTAATTAGGAAATAATTACATTGATCTACAGTAAGTTTATTGAAAATATACTGTTAATATTTGGAAAACCATTAAGTTAGAATTCTACAAACAATTCTTTTCTAAACGAATTTTATATGGATAGGTAAAATATATTTATGACTTTTTCTTTTTGTAACCAATGAATTTTGATTATATTATATGAAATTAACAATAAATATGTTGTACTAATCTTATTCGAAACATTACTTAATAAATTTTCTGAAGAATAGAAAAATTGATTTAAGCTTTGATAAATATTAGCTATTTTTCTCACAAAATGTATGGCACCGAAATTATTATTATTATTACAACTGAATAGAAACTGTTTTTAACACAGAGATATTGAAAATCACTGAGAACTTTTACCTTCTTATGTAATCATTATTACTTTATATTTTGTCATTTTAGAAAATTCTATAATGAATGCACTATTCTACCTGAAATTTTTTTAAAAATTTGCCATACAATTTCTGAATATCTGAATATTTTGCTGTTTAGATGTATTATATTATTTTTACTATATTCTTCTTATTTTTTTAGGAAAAGAAAAAACATTTACATACTTTCCATACTTGTATTATTCATTTTGTAAGACTTAACAGGAGCGTTAATGAAGAGAAAGTTAATACATTTTATGAATCGAAAATAAATTTAACAATCGAAGTCTGATAGTATTATTTAAGGTTATCATTTTTTATTTGTACTTATTGAAAATTTTAACATTTTTCTGAATGACTTATATGAAAATCACTAGTTGATGCTGTCTATTACGTAAATGACGATTTGAATTCTTTCTTTTCGTAATTTTTCTTAGCACTTGAACTAACCACTCAAACACCGAATTTAATATGAAAACATCAAACTCTAATATTTTTGTCGAATAATAAATTTATTTTTTACAATGTTAATACAGCTAACTATCAAGTTAGATTTTTTTTTCTAGCAATAATTTTTCTGTGAAACCTGAGCAAAGAAACTCTATGAAATACCTGTTTATTTATTACTTCCAAATGATCAAGTCCCAAGAAAATCGAGTTACAAATTAATTAAAACTGCGAAAGGACCGTAAATATTACGCCCAATGTGGGGCTCGAATCCGAGATTAAGAGTCTCGTGCTCGACCGACTGAGCTAGACGAGTGACGAGAGCGAATAAATTGACTAAAACTAACAACACTTTACATATAATAAACAGATTATTTACGAATATTTGGGCAAAAATTTTAAAAGAATTTGAAAGCTTTTGCATTTCCCCTCGCTATTTTTTAAAATATATATCATAATGTTGGGCTCGTAACTATTCTGCACATCAAGAGTCTCGCGTACTATTCATGTACACTAACGACGGAGATTCCCCGTGATCGTTTAGAAACTAACGAATAAAAAGAGTATGTCATAATTTATTTATTTTGAGGTGAAAAGTGGACATTTCCGCAAAAAGTTCTAAATACTTGGAAGTGGTTTCGCAATATCCAAAGCAGTTTTGAAATATAAATCCTAACGTGGGTCTCGAATCCAGGACCACGAGATTATAATATGTTGTCCTACCGACCCAGCCTGGCTTTCGACATTGCGCTAAGAATTATTTAAATGGCAAATGGACTGTTATTTCTATAGAAGTAAAAACCGAACCATTTGGCTACCCTTACAAGAGGCTGCCAGTTATTCGGTATGTTTATAAAACATAACGCCCAACGTGGGGCTAGAACCTACGACCCCGAGATTAAGAGTCTCGTGCTCTACCGACAGAGCTAGCCGGGCGACGATTGCGTATTAAAATGATGAAAACGGCTGATGGACAAAATTTAATTCAGATGTAAAAAGCAATTCCTTTCACGTGTGTAACAAAAATGTATAACATACTCCGCGCCAATCTGAACAAGTAACGCTCAATTACTGGCCCGAATTCGCGAACCTAAGATGATGAGTGCAGTAAGCTCTACCGAATAACACAATAATTTAAAAATTGCGCAACGAATTAATAGACACCGAAAAATAAAAATAATTTTTAGAAGCATAAAGAACGACAAGGTAGGAAACCCTTCGCAACAAACCTTGGAGATTATATATGTATATAAAATCTCGCATCGTCATACAGAAAATGTAACGGCAAATGTGGGGAATAGAAATCACGTTAATAAAAGTTCCCGTTCACTTCCAATTGAACAAGTCCGAAGAAAATCGAGTTACAAATTGTTGAAACCATGAAAGGACCGTACCCTGCTTATGATAGATATCTCTATTCTCACAATTGATTGCCAGTTCTTTTGAGAAATTTTAGAATATTACGCCCAACGTGGGGCTTTGAACCCAAGAATTCTAGATTGGGCGTCTGTGTTTCATCACCGAGCTAGACGGGCGGAGAGGGTGTATAAAATTGACTCAAACTAACAAGACTTCACATATAATAAACAAATTATTTA